GAATTGCTGCGGATATCCTCTTCTCGAGGCACTGCTTACCCATTCATACCCACTTGTTGCGCGTGGAGAACCTCTCCGACAAAACGTCAAAATGGCGGACGCAATCGCGGAAGCCACTGCCAAGCTGCAGCTCGACGAGGAGACCGGTGAGATGGTCTCCAAGGGCGAGTTGAAGAAGCGCATGCAGAAGCGTGCCAAAAAGGCCGCCAAAGCCAACGCTCCTCCGAAGCCTGCTGCGACCCCGAAGTCCCAGGGCCCCGCGACGCCCAAGCCGGAGGAGGCCCCCATCGACCCGGACGCCATGTTCAAGCAGGGCTTCCTTGCCAATGTCTACAACGAGCGACCCGTTACTCCCTTGACCCGATTCCCCCCGGAGCCCAATGGATACCTGCACCTGGGTCACTCCAAGGCCATTGCGATCAACTTCGGCTTCGCGAGACACCACGGCGGAAAGACCATCTTGAGATTCGACGACACGAACCCCGAGGCAGAGGAGGAGAAATACTTCACCGCGATTGAGGATATCATTGAGTGGCTCGGTAAGGCAGATGGGAGCCTTACCATGCGGACATGACTGACCGACCAAAAATAGGATTCAAGCCGCACGCCGTTACCCACTCGAGTGACCACTTTGATAAGCTGTACGAGCTCGCCGAGAAGATGATCAAGATTGGCCGCGCATATGTCTGCCACTGCAGCGATGCTGAGATCAAATTGCAGCGTGGTGGTGAGAAGAACGGCCCTAGGTTCCGCTGCAAGGACGCCGAGCAGGACGTGGAAACCAACTTGCAAAAATTCCGTGATATGCGCGACGGAAAGTACGCACCTCAGACGGCGTTCCTGCGCATGAAGCAGGAGCTTGACAACCCCAACCCGCAGATGTACTCGGATCTGGCTGCCTACCGTGTCCTGAATGCGGAGCACCACCGTACTAAGGACCAGTGGAAGATCTACCCTACCTATGACTTTGCCCACTGCCTGTGCGATAGTTTCGAGGGTATTACCCACAGTCTTTGCACCACCGAATTCGTGCTGTCGCGTGAGAGTTACGAATGGCTCAACAAGACCTTGGAAGTCTACGAGCCTATGCAGCGTGAATACAGCCGCATGGAGGTCAGCGGAACGGTCATGAGCAAGAGAAAGCTCAAGAAGCTTGTTGATGAAGGTTATGTGCGTGGCTGGGACGACCCCCGTTTGTACACCCTGATCGCGCTGCGTCGCCGTGGTGTTCCTCCGGAGGCTATCCTCTCCTTCATCAACGAATTGGGTGTTACTACCTCCAAGTCCGTCATCCAGATTGCTCGTTTCGAACAGTCTGTTCGTACCTACCTTGAGACCCGTGTTCCGCGTTTGATGCTGGTCCTTGACCCCGTTCCCGTTGTCATTGAGGACTTCGAATCCCTTGAAGCCCAGGAGCTTGATCTGGATGTGCCATTCTCCCCCAAGGACCCTAAGATGGGCTCCCACAAGCTTCCCTTCACCAAGACCGTCTACATTGACCGCTCCGACTTCCGCGAGGAGGATAGCAAGGGATACTTCCGTCTTGCCCCCGGCAAGAGCGTCGGTCTGTGGAGGTCTCCCTATCCCCTCAAGGCCACGACCTTCTCGAAGGATGCCGAAGGAAAGATTACGGAGATCCGGGCCGTTCTGGACCGGTCCGGCGCGAAGCCCAAGACGTACATTCACTGGGTCCCGGACAACTCGCGCAAGGTGGAGGTTCGCATCCACGACCAATTGTTCAAGTCGGATGACCCGAACTCTGTGGAGGGTGGCTTCCTGAAGGACATCAACCCCAACAGTGAGACCATCTACAACGACGCCCTGATTGAGGCCGGCTTTGATGAGGTGCGCCGCCGGGCTCCCTGGCCCGAGGCTGCGGGAGAGAAGACCAAGAGTGGACCGGAAAGTGTCCGGTTCCAGGCAATGCGTGTTGCTTACTTTGTGAGTATCCCTGACTATATTCCTGCGACATTTATCTTTTCCGCTTTTGGATCAAATGCTAACCGGTATGCCAGGCTGTCGATTCGGATTCTACGGATGACCGGGTTGTGCTGAACCGCATCGTTTCTTTGAAACAGGATGTGAGCAAGAGCAGCTAAGAGGTCTTTTGACGAATGAATGGGTTTAGATTTTACGCGTGATGGGATCAGGTACCGGGCAGAGGGAAGGCGAAGAAGGAGTTAGAGGAGGCACAGGCCACCTTGCGGTCGGCAGGCTCCACGGTGTGCCAGTTGCAGGAAACATAGATTTGGGTAACGAATGTCATGTGGCTGTGAATAGCGAGCATCATTGGCAGATTTTGAACTGCAGTAATCAGCAAGAAGATTCTTCCGCCGGCTTCTATCTTTACTGCTCCCACTACTCCAGTATAATCAGGTACAATATGATCTCCCGGTTTCTTCAGGGCCGTCGGCTCCGACCGACGTGACATCGGGGAGGTCTTGGCTGCATGGAATGTCTCAAACGTGGGTGTTTCGAAGGATTGTCAGTGGCTGCCAGCATTCTTATCTTTACTAACCGTAATTTCCCACTGCTGCCCTCGACACGGGTATCTGTTCACTATCTATACATACCACTGCTACACACTGATGTAGAGGTGTACCCTATCAAGCAATATTCATGCACATGGCAACAGTCGCCTTATAAGAAACCTGCCATCCTCTTCACTATGCCGGTATTCGCTTTCGAACAACAATTCGCTAAGCAGTCGCAGATCTCTTGCACACCATGCGCATGATCCCCTCGCTGTGTGCGGCAGCCCTGCTCTTTCAGCACGCGTTGGCCGTAACCATCCCCGAGATCAATGGCGACCGATACGTTTCTTCCTACAAAGGAAAAAGTGTCTCCGGTGTTAAGGGCCTTGTGACAGCCAAAGGTTCTAGCGGATTCTACATTCGCGCCACGGATGCCGATTCAGACTCCCGGACCTCCAACTCTATCTATGTGTATGGTAGCAGTGGAGTGTCGAAAGTCACGGTCGGCGACATTGTCACCCTGAGTGGAAAGGTCGCGGAATACCGATCCTCGTCCAGCTACGTCTATACCACTGAGATCGAGTCTCCATCCGACATTGAGGTGCTGTCCAGCGATAACACCGTCACTCCCATCGTCATCGGAAAGGATGACTTGGATCCTCCTACTGAGCAGTACTCTTCCCTGGACAATGGCGATGTCTTCAGCCTACCTGGCGGTTCTAGTCGGCTTTCCACTGCAAATCCTGTTTTGGACCCGACCGAGTATGGCATGGACTTCTGGCAGAGCCTGAGTGGTGAACTCGCTACTTTGACGGGACTCACAGCCATCAGCAAGGCTAATTCTTATGGCGATACCTGGGTAATTGGGGACTGGCCGGTGACGGGCAAGAATGACCGAGGCGGGCTGACCATGCGTGCAAATGGTTTGATTGCCTGGCTCTGCTATCGTGTCAACTAGTTACTGACTTGGTGTTTGACTGTAGACTCCAACCCGGAATCCATCGTCATCGGATCTCCATTGGATGGGACCACGAATCCAACTGATACCAAACTGGGAGACACCCTCGAGGACATAACCGGGATTATTACACAGGCATATGGTTTCTATACGCTGCTACCTCTGACTGCCCTGGAGAAGACCGGGTCCAACACTACAGAAGCCACGGCAACGACACTCAAGGCGGATGGAACCTGCAGATCCATTACCATTGGAGATTACAATGTTGACAATTTCTCTCCGGACTCGAGCACCATGAGTGGGATTGGGGAGCATATCGCCAAGTATCTGAACAGTCCGACCGTCCTGTTCCTACAAGAGATCCAGGACAACAGCGGAGCTACCGACGATGGCGGTAATCTCAATTCTCTCCACAACATCATGATAAGATCATGTCACTGACATTCCTGACACCAGTCGTCTCCGCCAGCCTGACACTGTCCAAGCTCGCTAGTGCGATCGAAGAGCACGGCGGGGTCGCGTACAACTACACTGACATCGATCCGGAGAACGACACGAGCGGCGGAGAACGCGGCGGTAATATCCGGCCAGCGTACCTCTATGACCCATCGGTGGTACGACTGCGAAACTACAATCCCGGATCCAGCAATGACTCCACCTCCGTCCTCTCCGACGGCAATCTGAGCTACAACCCAGGTCTGATTGAACCCTCCAACGAGGCCTGGGATGACAGTCGCAAGCCATTGGTAGCCCAATGGGAGACCCTGGATGGCAAGAACACCTTCTACACGATCAACGTGCACTTCACCTCCAAATATGACAGCACTTCGCTGGAGGGCGATCCGCGACCCCCCGTCAACGGATGGGTGGAGAACCGCGTGGACCAGGCTAAAGTGGTTGCTGTGAGTGCCTTTTCCGCGCTAACGATTTCTCTCATCTTGGTTGTGTTTGTCTGGAACCGAACAGAATCTAACCGTGGATGGCGTAGAAATTTGTTACCTCCATACTGGAGGTCAATTCCGATGCGAAAATTATCACCGCCGGTGACTTTAACGAGTATGCGTCTGTCGAGCCTCTGGAGGTGTTTGTCTCCGAGTCCAAGCTGCAGGACCTGGAGGACGTTACCGGCATTCCTGCGTCCGAGAGGTATACCTATCTGTATAACCAGAACTGCGAATCACTGGACCACATGTACGTGAGTTCCGCGTTGACGTCGGGAGCCAAGATGGAGCATATTCATGTCAACACGTGGGTGTCGACAGACGATGAGCTATCGGATCACGATCCCACCGTGGCTCTGTTCAACATGTGCGAGTAAGCACCGCCAGCTGTTTCTCTTTCTATATGCTTCGAACCTTCTATTCAGGAGCAAGCAGTCGCAAGCCCATGCTCAAATGAGAAGGGTCCGCAGCCCCGATCTAATCGAGCTAAGACACATGGCAGCACAATAAAATCTTTTATCAGTGGAGCTACAAGCCCATCGGACAAACAATACTTTGATAATTGAGTTTTGCTTGTCTCCAAATATTTATTAATCTCGTATTGCCGCGTAGCGATGTGTGCCTGGCATGGGTCGTTTCATTTTTATTGCTTCATCTGTGCGGCTCGACCCACTGCCGCATCCGGAGTTCATGACTCGGGCACGCTATTCATGCCTGAGGCAGGAAGCAGAGACTCAGCGAATGTATTCATGTTATGTGAAAAGCTAGACTATGCATTAGGAGACTCATGTAGTGGAATTCTGCGAGAGACTTGTTGTCTTGTACCTCGGGATGAGCTGCAGCGATAGAAACCACAATGGGCCAGGCGCTGCAAACAATCTCAGTAGTCCCCCCTGACAATTTCCTCAAGACCCTGGTCTAGATCTCAGCAACCCTTCGTGATCTTATAATTAACCGTGCAGCATGGCATCCTCAGCGCACTACTAAGTACTAATAGGACTAGCCAGGTGGCTGGCTGTAGCGTCGTCTCTGCTCATCCAGTGAGGACTTCAACCCCGAGGGCCTGAGCGCCAGGGCCAGTGGACCACCATTCAAAGTAACCAGACAACAAACAGCAAAACGTCCGAACCAAAGCCGACTCACAAACCTGAACAAACACGAGAATCACCAATTTCAGCGGTAGTGACCAGTCAGTGGCCACGTTCAGCGGCGGATCCCACGTGGTTCAGCTGAAAAATTCGGCCTGCGCCCCGTCGCGAGACCCACTGGTAGTAGGCTTTTCTCTCTCCAAGGTCTCAACTGTGGACTCCCTGATCGCTAATCTAAGATCTCATCTACTTTCCAACGGGCGCACAAGCAACAGTTCGCCTCCCTCCCCTCACAGCATCATCTGTTTTACGATTCTTATCCTGCGCAAGTGGACCTCAAACTTTCCGTGCTGTGCCGTCTCGTCCAGTCAGACCTGTTTCCATCGGCGTCTCATCCATGGGTGTTCCAGGAACCCTAACGCCCATGAGCGGCGTCGCTGAAATCGTCGGCAGTTGAGTCTAACCATTCTTTCGCCAGTCTGGTACGTCACGTTCGCTTATGGCAACTCTTGTTTCATAATATCTTTTCCCATCCCATTGGATTCCCGGGGATGTTACACTGTCACCTATCGCCTGCTGGCCAGCTCGCATCACCATCATGGCCGTGGATCGGTCATTAGAAGTACGAGCAGTAGCTGCTATCTTCTTTGCATTGGCGTCTGTGACGACGATTCTACGATGCTATGTCCGCCTGGCAGTTGTCAAGGCGTTTGGGTGGGATGATGGAGTTATGGTTCTGGCATTGGTGAGCTACCTTCTTCCTCTACAATTCCGGTGAACATACATTGACGTCGGATATAGCTCTTCTACGCCATGTTCTCGGGCTGCATGATCGGAGGCAGTCTGTATGGTACAGGGAAACACTTGACCGAGTTAACCAATCACCAGCGGACGACCGCAATGGAGGTAAACACTGTAACCTCACAGCATTATTCCCTCCCTCCCCTCACCACTAATCAATATGATCAATAGTACTGGTTCTACTGCGACATTGGCTACGCCCTCGCCTCAATTCTCTGCAAAATATCCGTCAGCATCTTCATCCTGCGCGTGACCATCGATCGAACCCACCGGATAACCGTCTGCCTCGTCGGAGGAATTGTCGTCCTCGCCGGACTCATCTTCTTCATCATGGTCCTCGTGCAATGCCACCCCATGTCGTACTTCTGGAACCAATTATCCACCGCATACTCGGGCCCCGGATCTTGCATGAACATGCACATTATTGTGGGCGGATTATACGCCTTTAGCGCCTCCTCTGCGCTCTTCGACCTCACTATCGCTATCCTTCCAATCTTGCTAGTCCGGAAACTCAACATGAAGCGCGATGTTAAATTTGCTGTCGCTGGACTGTTGGGTATGGCTTGCGTGTATGTACCATACCATACCCTTTAGTAACATCCAGTCAATCACACACACATACTAATCCGGATGGAATTGAACAGTGCCTCCATCGCCGTCTTCATCCGCATCCCCTACATCCACACCCTCTACAGCGTCGACTACCTCTGTACGCCCTTACCCCTAAACCTATTCCCCCCCAAAACTAACAAAAGAACAACAGGGGCAACAACCCCGATAGCAATCTGGTCCAACATCGAAACCGGCCTGGGCATCTTCGCCGGCAGCATGGCAACTCTCCGGCCCATCCTCCGCAAGTTCAACCCCTCAACCCGAGGCAACGAATACACCTCCGATCCGTGGCCAAGCACCCGCAACAAGCAACGTAATTTCTCCGTGCCGCTCCGCTCCCTCGACACTAACACGACGCGAACACCGCCTTCTGAATTCGACGATCGCATGGCGATGCACGGCCACGATGAGCGGTTATATGGGACGACGATGTATAGTGTTGAGACGGGGGAGAGGGTGGATGCGGATGCAGATGTGGATGTGGCCGACGGCGGGGAGAGTGGACATGGCCATGGGGGCAGGGTGGATGAGTATCCGATATTGCCTAAGAATGGGGCTACGGTTAATGGTGGTGGGAATGGCATCGGGATGAAGTTTCCTGGGATTATTAGTGTTAGGAGGGAGGTGTTGGTCACGACTTCTGCTTAAAGAGAACCTTTTCTTCTTGTGGTTCTTGTTCTTGGTCTTGTTTTTGGGATGGGTTGGGTTGGCATTGGTGGAGTTGGGTATATACCATTTAATTTTCAGTTTTCTTTCTATAGAATATATTTTACATCAATATTGAGATGGTAGTAGATTATTGATTGTAGCCGGAATGATTGACAGCATACTCATGTTCAGCATCAGGTATGTTGTATGCTGTGTTGTAGGATGGATCGGCAACGGCGATACTCTCTTTGTATGTAGAACCCGAGCGATCGTCCCCAAGGGTTCTGTCTGATTTATGGCTGATCTGCAACGGGGCGCAGGGCTAGATTGAAACTCTAATAACGGTCGGTCGGCTTCGCAGTGCATGCTATAATTGTTATTTGAGGTTGGGATGATCCGTAAGGTAGTAGATCATTCGTTGGGGAGAAGTGATGATGTGGGCATGTGGTCGGATAAGGAGTATTTATGCTGTGGTGGATATCGCACATGGAAGGCATCTGTTTAGAAGACGGACTGGTACGAGTCTTGCTCAGTTATGGCTTAAGTGTGACTCGAGAGCATTACTCTTTAGTAGTAGTAGTAGTAAAAGAAGAAGAAGAAGAAGAAGAAGAAGAAGAAGAAGTGTACTCCTAAGTAGAAGAAAAAGTGTTGGCACCAAATCTAATCTATTGTATTGATTTAATCTATCAATGGACCGGCCGTCTCAATACTTTTATATTATAGTGATATCACGTAGTCAAAAAGCCCTGCAATCTCAACAAAAGCATAACCTGAGGAAACAGACAACTTCCGACATATTATTTTCGACTCCTTTTTGTGCAGCGTCGTGTGAATCTGACCTGATTGACCTGGGTGACGCTTCAGGTCTTTGTCAAGGGTATCCTCCCCACGCGAGTTTGCCATAGACCCCAAGTCATATGGGTCGGGGCTGCCTCACAGCATATGAGCAGAGCAGCACTCAAGACCTGCCCCAGACAGAAAACAGAAAAACCCAGACGGTGTGTACCGTCAACAGTATCCTTCTCACCAGAACTCCAGCAAAATACCGCTCCCCCGCCAAAGAGATCTATTGCTTCCGGCCAATGCTCCGCTGACCCTGCACAACTGCCTTGGAGACCTCATCCAGGCAGCCCGCAGCGGCGGCAAAGAAACCGAGGAAAGCCCGGCTGGGGCTCAAGACCCGACTGAGATACTCGGGGTGGAACTGGACACCGACGAACCAGGGGTGGTCCTTGATCTCGATAATCTCCATACGCTCGCCCTTGGTGTCCTTTCCGATGAAAGAGAGACCGGCCTTCTCAATCTGCTCGATCATGTCGGGGTTGACTTCGTAACGATGACGGTGGCGCTCCTCAATCTGCGAGACGGAAGGTCCGTACAGACCACGCAGACGAGACCACTCGGTGTTCTCCTGGAAGACACAGGGGTGTCTGCCAAGACGCATGGTACCACCAAGCTTGCCCTTGTCGACCTCGGGCATGTAGACAATGGCGTGGTTCTCGGCCTTAGGGTGCAGCTCCTCACTGCCGACATCCTTGATGTTGGCGACGTTGCGGCAGAACTCCAACACGGCCAGCTGCATACCCAGGCAGACACCCAGGAAGGGCTTGTTGTTGGTACGCGCCCATGTGATGGCCTTCATCATACCCTCAGTACCTCTGTTACCGAAACCGCCGGGCACCAGGACACCATCGGCCGTGCAAACCGCGTGCCAGGCCTTGTGGTAGTCGGCGGGGGAGGCGGTGTCATCCTCCAGATGCGACGAGTCGACCCAGATGATCTGAACCTTCTTGTGGCAGTACATGGCCGCGTGCTCCAGAGCCTTGGAGACACTGATGTAGGCGTCGTGAAGGGAAGTGTATTTGCCAACCAGAGCAATGGAGACGGAATCGTGGAGGAAGTCCTGGCCACGAGCAAGGTCGCACCAGTCGTTCCACATGCGGCTGCCCTGCTCCTTGCGCTCAGGGGTCTGGGGGATCGACTTCAAGTCGAGCATATCGGTGATGGTGCTGATCAGCTTCTGCTTCTCGAGAAGCATGGGCACGTGGTATGTCGTCGTGACGTTGTGGACGGCAATAACCTGGTGCTGCTCGACGGAGCACATGTTGGCAATCTTGTTAATGGTGCTATCCTCCAGAGGTTGCTCGCAGCGACAAGCAATCAGGTCGGGGTTGAGACCAGCACTCCGCACATCGCTGATTGCCCTCTGCGTGGGTTTCGTCTTCTGCTCACCACCAGGTCCCGGCGGGATGACAGGGACGTAGGAAACGTGGATCTGGACAAAGTTGCCCTTGCCGGCCTTTCTCTGGAGCTGGCTCAGAGCGTGGATGAAGGGCGCACTCTCAATGTCACCGACGGTACCACCCAACTCGATGATACAGACATCCGGTTCCGCCTTGGACTCGTCGACGGGGATCTTGGCTACCCGCTGAATCCACTCCTGAATGGCATCGGTGACGTGGGGCACGACCTGGACGGTCTTACCGAGATAGTGGCCGATGCGCTCGCGGTTGATGACGTGCTGGTAGACCTTTCCGGTGGTGATGTTGTGATCGCGGGAGAGAGAGGAGAGGAGGTAGCGCTCGTAGTTGCCAAGGTCGAGGTCCATTTCACCACCGTCGTCTGTGACATAGACCTCACCGTGCCTAGCATAGTGGGGGTGATGTCAATAAGGTGTATCACCGAGAAGCCGAAAGCCACGCAGATACTGACTCAGTAGGTGCCATTGTGCCCGCATCGATGTTGATGTAAGGGTCGATCTTGATAGAGGTGACGGCCAGACCGGTAGTCTTGAGCAGGAGACCGGTGCTGGAGGCAATAATGCCCTTGCCCACGCCGGAGATGACACCTGAGGGACGGGCGGGTTTTGTTAGCAAGAGGGCACGAGGCGAGGGACCCTGGCAACTCCGCTGGTTTCCAGCCGAGCCGAGCAATTGAGCTTACCTCCGGAAACCAGAACGTATTTCATCTTTGCAGCGACCGACGGAGACGGAGTGGTGACAAGGGGACGTGAGCGATTACCGCGGAGCAAAGAGTCAAAGAATGAGGCGAAAAAAAGTTCGATTTGTGACCCTCCCGAAGCGGTGGGCCTGGTTGGTCAGGTGATTTTTCTTATCTTATCGGGTTATCTTATCGGGCCTCACAGCAACAATTGTATGGCTGAATACTTTCAAAATGCCAATTGAGGAGACAAAATTAAAACAAACACCAATTGTCATAAGTAGCTTCAATTGATGTGCATGGTAAAGGCTTTTATTGAGCAACATCATGTTGTTGTGCCCTTTCCATCTGAGTCATTTCATCCCCCATCTGTATTCATCTGTATTTTAAATCTGCTCTGATTGGCACCCGTGTGACGCCAAGCCCAGTCAAACGGTTACATTCGGGACTTCTGCCTGATGATGCTAGGCAGCACACCTCTTGTATCATGACTGATATTGCTTCACCTGTGTATCATTTTATGAAGTTGGCAGGATAAAGGATCCAATTTTCGAAGTCCAGTGTGAGAGAACAGTTAGTACCTACTAATAGTACATAGTTACAATCATTTCGTTTTGATCCAGAACCAAGATATATTTTCCCATGGGGTAAAGTGGTCCTACTACTCTGTTACCCTCAAATAAGCAAATACCATGGAACAGTTCAAATAGTTTTCATGAAGCTAAGTTAGTCATCAATTATTATGCAAGATTTTTTCTAAATTTCTTACTGATTTTATTTCATATATAATCTACTCTATCAAAATGTTAACGTCACCCACATAATGGGAAAATACAGGAGAGAAGAGACGCACAATTAAATAACGAAAAATTGGATAAACAATATATATATATACTACTATTATAGATATTTCTCGTCTGTAAGAAAATAAAGAGCTTGACTTATACTTCCAAATCATTCGCTTCCATTAAGCCTAAATCAATACTGCCTTTTCGCCCCCAACAAACCTCGTTATGGCAACAAAGAAAGGCATTTATATCTCTGGAGTCCATCTAACCGATGCACCCAATCATTTCAGAGGCTCCATAAACCTCTAATTATTTTTATTCCTAGTTGGACGAAAAAGAGAGGCTTAGTGTAAGCACTAACAGTTAGCGACCAACGCAGGATTGCCGACGATTAATTAGATTTTGCTTGTCTAGCACTAAACCTTCCGACCGACACAGCCTCACGCTCTTATAACTAGCTTGCAACCCCATTTCCCCAATGGAATTATACGTTATAGTATTCAATTTCCCGAGCTTTCAATTTCCTTACAATTAGTTGTCTTTTGACCAGAACATAGGCGCCCCAGACTCGAATCCATAGGGATTGTGCAACCATCAATATGGGTCAAAAAGCTTCAACCCCTCAACCAGGGGCCAAATTACAAGTCATCGGTGCAGGTCTCTCTCGCACCGGTACGGCGTCCTTCAGCGCCGCCTTGAACATTCTTCTCGACGGACCGGTCTACCATGGTGGTACGCAGATAACAATGGGTCCGTCAACCGAGATCAAATCATGGATTACTATTCTACGCGACTGGCTATCAGGCAAAAATCACCAGAAGGTTCTTGCCATGATGAAAGACCGCACAGATGGCTACGTTGCTATAACAGACGCTCCTGGTTCTCAGTTCGTGCCAGAGCTCCTGGAGATTTATCCCGACAGTAAGGTCATCTGTACGGTTCGCGATCCTGATGCATGGGTCAAGAGCATGGATCAGGTTGCGGGATTGGCTACATTGTGGTTTCTACGCGCTGTTCTTCTCCCACTTCCTGGAATGCGGTACTTTGTCGAGTATATCTCGGTCTTGCAAGCGCAGTGGGATAAGGTGTATGACAATGAGCGTGCGTTTGATATCATTTGGCATCGACACATTGCCTGGTTGAAGGAGATAGTTCCCGAGGATCGTCTGGTGTTCTACGATGTCCGGGAAGGATGGGAGCCTCTTTGCAAGGCACTGGGGAAGGATATCCCTGATGTTCCGTTCCCACGGATCAACGACTCCAAGGCTATTGATCAGGTTGCGCAGTATCATATTAAGCGTGGGCTGATGAGATGGGCGGCAGCCTTTACGCTGGTCGGGGCTGCTACTGCTTGGTTTATGCGCGGCTGAAGGATTCCAACAATGATCATTGGAATTGTATTGTAGATAGTCAAC